AATCGCCGCGATACGGCTCGGGATCGATCTCGTGTCGGCGGCCAGGCGAAATATCGCCTTCTTGAGGAGCGTGGCCGATTCGGTGTGGCTTCACCACACGTCCATTGTGGTGGAAGCCATAAGAAGGTCAACTGTGTGGAACAAAAACACCTCCCTTGTTTGTTTTGGTTTAGTAATCTCATCTGATAGTGGAACGTTTTCGCAGGTACCATGATTTCTGGATGCCGTTGATCGCTGATCTCACGCTTCCGGACTCTACTCCTCCTATAATTCTTCCTCCCCTTGACGTCCAATGGGTGTGGTTCTGTCACACTTTAAACCCCGTGAGTTCGTAGTCTTATGTTTTCGTGAAAATTATAAATAAAAATAAATCAATTTAGTATGTAATGTTGTTTACTGTTGTAGGTGAGTTACAGGGAATACTGCGAGCGGAGATTCTCGAAGCTGATAGGGAGAGCGGGAATTTTCGACGAAGAGAACAGAGAGTACGCGTTGATGCGGTGCATGGAGATTTGGAGCAGTAGATACCCGTTGGAATCGTTTGAGAATGAGGCCAGTTCGGATTCGCAGGATTCGGGTGCCCGGGTTGTTGGAGGGAGTTTGAAAGAGGATGTGTTTAAGGAAGTTGAGAAGCAGAGGTTGTTGTTATGCTCCATGTTCGTAGAGCCGTACAGGTCTGAGGTTGTGTACTTGATTGCCGCGAGACAGCGATACAAGGCTTTCTTGTTTATGATGCAGAGGTTCGCGCGTGAGTTTTCTTCGCGTTTCGTTCCTACTTCGGATATCCTCTTAATGTGGCTGACCCACCAGGTGTCTTTTCTGTCGCGTTCGTTCTCCTCTTAAATACTGTCATACTCAATATCATCAGTCTTAATTTCACACTCGATGATGAAGTAACCACTAGAGTGAAATTTACAAAGCTCTTTGTTCTTTTTGGTGACTTTCTTCTTCAGTTAATTTTCTCAATTCCTCTTTCTAGAGCTTCCCAACAGTGTATTTTGAAGATTTGAAAGCATTAGCTGTAGAAGCTGATCTACAGAAGGTGGTAACTCTGTCTGAAACCGTGAAGGAAAAGGAGTTAGAAGAAACCCAGAAATTGTGGGATAGGGCATTCAATCAACCTTATGAGAAAGCTGGTGGAGAGGTAACTTTCAAATTGGAAGGTGATACCTCAATCAAATCCCCTGTGTATTGGGAAGAATCAGGCACAGATGTGAATACAAAATACAGGTCCATGCTTCCAAGATTTTTACTTGAGGTCAATTTCTTGCTCTCTTTCTCTGCTTCTTTTATCGTCTTTCCTTATTTACTTGCCAGAATGTTGTGTACTGTGTTGCTCTTGTTCTTTGAAGTCGTTGTGGTAAGAAGTAGTTTTCATGTGGTTAATGTTAGGAGACACCATCATCAACTTGGTTGTAGAAACAGTATAATCCTATAGCTACATTTCTTTAGTTTTGCTTGAGTTTGCCTAAACAGGAAAACTTCTTTAGTACATCACTAGGATGTTTGGGTTTCTAATATTTTCATACATGTATGATGAACTTAGCCAAAGCTTCTATGCAATAGTGTACAAGTGATGGTATTGGAACAATATATAACATAAATATTTCAAACAATCCCTGTTCCAGAATATCATGGACATACAAGTATTGCAAAAGAATGAAGTGCGGCTAATTTTTACAATGCAGGCCTGTGTGTTTATGAGACTTAAACAAAGAATAAGAACATTGCCGAAGGATATAAACCGTGATTTCTTACGCCTCCGAATGACAAGGTGTCATAGTGAACTAAAGCTTGAAAAAGCCTTCTCCAATTTTACCAATGATTCATGGAAAAAGGCTTGGCACTTTTACTGTGAATTTGGGACGAAGGGAATTATGCTTGAGTACCGTCGTCATGGTGGTAAATGTCTAAGAGGAAGTAGCCTACTGGACACTATTTCATTCAGCTGGAATGATTTATTGAGAGCAGATTCTTTAACTTTGGAAAAGGAAGTTAGTCAACAGGTGAATGTTGTTACATCAATAACTCCACCAGTTCAAGCACCATACTTGTTTAAATGTGTACCTGATCGAGTCACTGACGATTCTGGTGCAATGATATCTGATGTGATTCTGAAAATGAATTGTTATCGTCCACAAGAAGGGCGATGGTTGTCTCGCACAGTTCTTGATCACGCAGGGAGAGTGTGTTTTGTTGTTAGAATTAGGTAAACTTCTTCAACTCTCTCATCAAGAAATAGTTCGTAGGGTTAATACCATTTGTACTAACTAACAGGCAAATATTTGATCTACAGGGTAGGAGGAGGATTTTGGAGAAGAGGGAGTGAAACTCCTTCAGGTGTAAAATGGGAAGACAGGATTATAGAGATACGTGAAGGATCTTGGTCTTATGTCGCTGGTTCCATTGGTAGAGCCCCTGGTATGTTTTATGTAAATTTTACATAAATTTAATCATGGTAAATATATTTGTCTTGTCTTAGCTTCCTTGCAGCATCGTGGACACCGGTCATAAAAGAAACTAGAATGTGGGAACTGATTTTGATGTGAATAATTAGAAAACTATACTTCTGAGTTGAAATATCTTGCTCTCATGTCTTATTTCTTTCATTTTAGTCTGAAGTTAGTTTATGTTTTTTAACACAATATGTTTCATATAATGGTGAGTTTTACTTGGTCGCTGAGGGTTTATATTTTCTAACACACTGAGAAAAAATATCAGCCATTAATGTTTGTCAAAGATAGATCCCCCCTCCTGAATTAGTTGTATTCTATGATATTATGTTCGGCTTCGACTAAGCCTTGGTTCTATCTCTTTCTTTATAATTATCTATATTTGGTCTTGTGAAGTACTACGTGAGAACAGGAAAATTAAATGCCTTAGCTTCATATGTTTATGTCTCCATCTATTGGATACGATGCTTGCTTCATGACAAAGTTATAATACTAGATGTGATCGCTGCTCCTATTCTTTCAGAGCAAATCTCAAATACTTCCCTGTTTTGTTTCAGTATAGTAATATTTTCTAGTCTTGTTTCTGTCTAGTACAGAGAAGGTGGTGGCCACGGCAAAGCCAAAGGAACCTACGGAACGATGCAAAGCTGCATGGAACTTTTCAACAGGAGATGAACTGACAGTACAATGGGACTCATCACAATCAGTGTCAGATCTCATCTTTAGTCTGCAAAATCAAGCCTCTCCAGAGTCATCGGTAGAGTGTCAACTTCCCTAAATACTATCCTGAAATCAATGCAATATTTTGTTTGCTTCTTAATTTGTCTAACTCCGAAGTTTCAACAATCAATTGCAGGTGCAGTTATTGAGAGGGAGGCAAATGCAATATCAAGTGAAGAAAACAAAGTCAAAGAGAAAAGGTGAAGAAGACATGAAAATAGAGTTAGAGGAGAAAGAGATGGAGGAAGAGGAAGACGAGGAGAATTTTGTAACAGTAGTACGTTACACAGAAGACAACCCAGATGGAAAAGCGACTGCGCTTCTAAATTGGAGGCTATTGGTTGTTGAAGTATGGCCTGAAGAAGATGCAGTGCTGATGCTTCTCCTTTGCATTTCGATACTGAAAAGTGTATCAGAAATGAAGAAACAAGACGTGGGAGGCTTGTTGGTGAGAAGAAGATTAAAGGAAGCAAGGGTTGGAAGTAGGGATTGGGGATCTGTTATACTTCATCCATCTTCGTGGTCCTCATCCATTGATTCAACTCATCTTCAACCTTGGCATTGGCATGCTGGGGTTGTGATGAAATCTGATGCAGTAGATCAGCTAAAAAGGTATCCAACATTAGGTCAATTACCAGTTGAAGGTAGTGACAACTTGTACAAACAAGGAATTTTAGGTTAACCCTGTCTTCAATTTTAGCAAATACTACTCTCATTATTTCCAAAATTTTAGCTTGCTTCACGTTCACATTTTTACTGGAATTCAAAACTCTGAGCCCGAAAATTTGTTGGAGGAAAACATAAATTTACATAAAATTTGTAAAACATATAAAATATAAAATGATATGATTGTGGCTTGTGAGTACCTGCTATGCCCCCTCAAATTCGATTTGGTTTATCTGAATTTAATTTTGAAGTTATTTCTTCTATGAATCTATTTGCAGGGATAATTTCTTAAACTATTTTTTTATTAAATATATTTTTATTTTGTCTTAACTGCTACTTATATTCATTGTACAAACCGTACATGTCAAGAGAATAACTTAGAGATGAATATATTAAGACAGAGGATTTAAAACCAAGGATAATATGGTCTGTACTAATTAACGAAAGGATCATATTATACAGATTCAAAAATTAAGAATTGAATTAAAATTGTAATAATACAAAGATCAAAATAAATAAACTAAAAATGATTCCTTTTGTATCAAGCTACGCTTCAGTCTATTTTGTTGGCTTAATGTTTTGTCAAACGGATAGATAATACACATGCTAAATTGGTGCCCGCTGATTCATGAACAAAAGAAAGGAAATGGCGTGACGAAAGATTTGTGAATGAGATGAAGAATTATCATAATATCCAAGATAAGAACAGAAACCTCAAATTATTTCTATATATTGTGCGGCTTCTGATCTTTATCACTTTTAGAAAAGAAAGGATATCTTGCTATTTTGAGCATAACCATCTTTCAAACCACTCTTTGATCTCTCTCTCTATATATAAAGAAATTTTCTATTTTGCCCGCCAATCACAGAGTTGCACGCACCAAAAGGGTTTGACGGAGGATTGCCACAGCCTCAGCATGCCCTTTCCTTTCACTTCTCTGCGCGGCTCCTTCTGTTTCACAATGCGCGAAGGAACCAAAACACAAGTTGAAACATAGAAAAAAAAAAAAAAAAACACCCAGAAGATTTAACTGTATTTTATTTGCATGTAAAGTTGTAGCCATTTAACTAGTTCAGTAATTGAAGTATGCGCTGCCCTTAGTCTTATTGTGTTGCATATATTCAATTTGAAGAGTTGATAGGGGGCGCGCTTAATTGAAAATGAGCGAGGAAGGTGGAGGAATCAAGAAGAGAGTCATCATCATTGGCGTCGCTACCATCTTCCTTGTTGCTATGGTCGTTGCCATCGCATTTAGCGTCAACCTTACGGACGGTTCCGATGCCGAAGAAGCTGAGAACCACATTGTTGCCTCTGTGAAAGCGGTGAAAACCATCTGTAAACCCACAGATTACCGGAAAGAATGTGAGACAAGCCTGAGACAAGAGGCTGGGAACACCACAGACTTCAGAGAACTCATTAAAATTGCATTCAATGTAACCATGAAGAAAATGAGTAAAGGACTCAGAAAAACAGATCTCTTGCGAGAGGTTGAGACTGACCCCAGAGCCAAGATGGCACTTTCAACATGCAAGCAACTCATGGATCTTTCCATCGGGGAATTCAAGAGATCAATTGATAAAATGGGCAAGTTTAATCTCGACAATCTCCACAACATCCTGAGTAGTTTAAGCGTTTGGCTTAGCGGTACCATCACTTACCAAGAGACTTGTTTGGATGGCTTCAAGAACACCACCACCGGAGCAGGGAAGAAGATGAGGGACATTTTGACCAGTACCATGCACATGAGCAGCAATGCCCTGGCCATCATCGAGGAACTTGCAAATACTGTCTTGGATATGGATGGAATGGCAAGTGGGGATCGCCAGCTTGGCGAGAATGATCAACATGTTTTCAGTAACGGTGAGGCTATTCCCTCGTGGGTTGCTGCTGCTGACGATGATGATTGTGATGATGGTGGTGTTGGTGTTCGCAGACTCCTTCATGGAAGTTCCCACAAACTCAAGGCTAATGCGGTTGTGGCCAAAGATGGTAGTGAAAAGTTCAAAAGCATCAATCAGGCACTGAAGATGGTGCCTAAGAAGAACAAAAAGCCATTCGTGATTCATATTAAGGAGGGTGTTTATCATGAGTATGTTGAAGTCACTAAAACAATGACTCGTGTGGTGATGGTGGGTGATGGTGGGAACAAGACACGAATCACTGGCAACAAAAACTCTTTAGATGGAACCACTACTTACAGAACCGCCACAGTTGGTATGTATCCTTTCCTTCTGATAGAACTGATTATAGTGACACTAGCTTGCTGGCATCTTGCTACCGTACCATTCACCAAAAACGAAAAATATTTGTATAGGATACTTTCAAGAATATATTAAATTACTTAGATCGGTGATGAAACATGGAATATTGCAATGTTAATTAATTAGTTTATGCATGCATTGGTCAGCTGTTCAAGGAGATTACTTTGTCGCCATCAATATAGGGTTTGAGAATTCTGCTGGCCCCGACAAACATGAAGCAGTAGCCTTAAGGGTCCAAGCAGACAAGGCCATTTTCTACAGATGTTCAATGGATGGGTACCAGGACACACTGTACGTTCATACCATGCGTCAGTTTTTTCGGGATTGCACCATTTCAGGCACTACAGACTTTGTCTTCGGTGATGCAGTCACTGTTTTTCAGAACTGCACTTTCGTGGTGAGAAAGCCATTGAAAGACCAACAATTAATTGTGACAGCACAAGGTAGAAAGGAGAGGCACCAACCATCAGGAATAGTGATCCAAGGAAGCTCTATTGTGGCTAATCATACAGTGAAGTTAGAGAAGAAGGCTTACCTAGCTCGTCCATGGAAGAGTTACTCGAGGACCATCTTCCTGAACAATTACATGGAGGATTTGATTCAACCTGAAGGGTATACACCATGGCAAGGACTACGGGGTCCTTCAGGTATGAACAATTGTTTCTATGCTGAGTACAATAACAAGGGTCCTGGTTCAAACAAATCCGAGCGTGTAAAATGGCGTGGGATCAAGGAACTCACTTCAGAATCCGCAAGCAGTTACTCACCGTCCATATTTTTTCATGGAGATGATTGGATTAAAATTACTAGGATTCCTTACTACTCAACCACCGTCCCCAGGCATTAAACATTTTTCTAGGATAATATGCATCCCAGAGACTAGTAACTTTTAAGCTTTCTCTTTCACTTTTGTTTGATTAGTTTCAAGTTTTTGTATATTCTCTAATTTTCCCACATTCTGCAGATAGATCATCACCTGTTACTGCAGGATACATAGATTTAACTTAATTAAACCTTTCCTTCGGAGATTTTGTTAACAATTAAAAGCTTGGTCTCTTTTTTATTTTTTGAGGAGATACTAGCTTAGGTCTCTTATATTAAAAATATTTTCTTTGTTACCATTAATATATCTATTTTATATTTATTTTAGGTGTTTATTTATGTATATATCAACTGCAAGGATGCATATATGTATTAGTAAAATATTTATAACTTCTTCATATTAATCGTAATAAAAATATCATTTCATCTTAGCATAAACCATGTCTAGAAATTGTGGAAACAAATATACCAATACATAATAACCAAGTGATTAATTGGCAATTATTCCATATAATATTTAAGTCTTTGAATATATAAATATATAAATAATAATAATATTATTATTTTTCTTATAGTATTTGAATATAATTGATTATTAAAAGGTTTTTTTAATTTTTTTCTTATTTGAGTTTTATTTTATATGTATTCGTTAGTTAATATTATTCTAATTTTATATGTGATTGAAGTTCTAAAGTTTTTATAATATTTGTTAGTTTTTGGGATTTCATTAATTTTAAAAAATATTAGACATTCAATATTTAATATAAATAAATTTCATATTAAAAAAAGTAATTATTGTTTTACTATATATAATTTTTAAATAAAAATAAAATCATTGATTATATTATTTAATTATTAATATTTTTATTTTTAAAAATAATCAAATCAATTATAATTTTTTATTTTTTTATTTAAATAATGTTTTTCTTTTTTCTTTTTTCACTCCTTTACTTTTCATTTTCAAATTCAAGTAACATTAAAAAAAATTAAAATTATGAATATTTTAAAATATATGATATTTTGAGTAATAAAATTATTTATTAATTAATATTATATTAATTATATTTATATTTTTTTAATTATATTTATTATAAAGAAAAGAGATAACAAATTATTAAAAAAATATTTTAATTGAAGAAAATATTAAAATGATAAGAATATTGAAAATAATAAAAAATTAAAGCTGATGGTAGGCGTCTTCTGACAATTTTGACGATGTTAGGCGTCTTTTACAGAAATTTAATTTATTAAAATAATAATCATAGCAGATACATTGAATTTGCTAGGGTCGACTTTATCCCAAATTATATTAAATTAAATTTTCAATAAAATATTGAATTAAAAATGATAAGCTACTATTGTTAAACTTAGAAACTGTCATGAAAGAAGGTAACATGAACTTAATAATTTCTTTAATTACCTGTGAGCATGTTAATTTTAGAGTGATGGATAGATATATTGCAGAAGGACAAAGCCAAATTCACATAGACAGAGAGGATGGAGAGCATAGAGCACAGAACGGTGGAAGTGAATGGCATAAAGATGCATATTGCAGAGAAGGGAGGAGAAGGGCCAGTGGTGCTGTTCTTGCATGGCTTCCCCGAACTCTGGTACTCATGGCGCCACCAGATTGTGGATCTGGGTTCCCTCGGTTACCGTGCTGTGGCCCCTGACCTCCGAGGCTACGGTGACACCGATGCTCCAGCGCCACTTACCACCTACACCTGCTTCCACCTTGTCGGTGACATCATTGCGCTCATCGACTCTCTGGGTGTGGACAAAGTGTTCCTTGTTGCCCATGACTGGGGTGCCATCATCGGTTGGTACCTCTGCTTGTTCCGACCAGACAGAGTCAAGGCCTATGTCTGTCTCAGCGTCCCCTTCCGACCCTTCCTCGGAAGAAACCCCCGACAGAAGACCGTAGATGGTTTTCGTGCCTTGTACGGAGATGACTACTACATATGCAGGTTTCAGGTACCCTCTCTCTTCTTTCCTTCAATTCATTGAGAAAGCTTCATTATAGTACATCATCATCATCGTTTTGTACTCTTTTTGTTGGTTGATGTCACTGTCATGTGTGGTAAAGGAACCAGGGAAGATGGAAGCTGAGCTGGCTCGCGTTGACACTGCATATCTGATGAAGAACATACTTACAACGCGCAAAACCGGTCCACCCATTTTTCCGAAAGGGGAATATGGAACTGGATTCAATCCTGATACTCCAGATACCTTGCCCTCTTGGCTCACTCAGCAAGATATTGATTATTACGTTAGTAAATTCCACAAGACTGGCTTCACTGGAGGCTTGAACTATTACAGAAATCTCAATATGTGAGTTCCTATATGGGATTAATTATATCAAATTTCGGCCTTGATACTAATAGAAAATATAATGAAGCATTCACAAGTGTGATCCTCGATATGATATTAGAGCTTCTTCTATATGATGTGGCTAATAGTGAATCATGAATTGCAGAAATTGGGAGCTGACAGCACCCTGGACTGGAGTAGGAATCGTGAACGTACCGGTTAAGTTCATTACAGGTAGCGTTGATTTGGTGTACAACTCCCCGGGGATGAAGGAGTACATCCACAACGGTGGTTTCAAGAAAGATGTGGCAACTCTGGAGGAAGTGGTGGTGCAGGAAGGTGTTGGCCACTTCAACAACCAAGAGGCTGCAGAGGATGTGAGCAATCACATTTATGACTTCATTAAGAAGTTCTGAGTGACGGTTTCTATGTGGAAACAAACCCAGTTTCAATCAACCCCAATAAAATCATACATGTGCTTTTCTGCATTTTGCAAAATGTAGCTTGAGTTAATGTATGTAAACTTGTAATAAATGAAAGTTATTTGGATGATTTCAATATGATTGCTCTAATTTTGCTGATACCTTTTGAATGCATAATTATGAAAAGGTTATATAGGTTATATGGTAAAATGTTAGAATTATTCTTAGTATTGCTTAAGGAATAAATTTTATCTTTTTCTTTCTTTCATTTTTCAAAAGGTTCAATCCTCCTGTTCTTCTCGTTGCACATATTGACGTTTATTAACAACATTCTCAACCAAGATTTTTCCAATGCATTCATTATCTATTGGCAGGGTATGAGAATTTTATTAGTTTCAACTTTCAAGGTGGGAACAAAAGAGAAAGAGGTAACATGTGAACTCATAAGAAAGATTTTCTGGAAACTTACTTTGATTGATCCTTTATTACACTGAAATCAGAATGAAAAGTGTATTTAAACCTTTCCAATAACTTTCTAAAAATCAAAACATTAATTCTCTAGAATTCAAAAATATCTACAATAATTGTCCTGATATCAATAATTTCAGAACGTTATTAAAACTATCAAAACATTCTAAAATTGAATATCCTATTATAATTTTATCCCAATAAAACTTCCTCATCAAATTAACTCTATGCAAAAGAGAAAAATTGAGATCCGCAATCTCGACCTCCCAACTTCCAAGCTTCCAACTAGTCCACTTCTCATCTTTCATATTACTTTGACTTCCTTTCATCCTTCATTTTGATTAATCTTTTTAAATTCTCGAATAAAAACATAGGCACCGACTTCTTAAAATTATCATCAACTTAATCTTGACCTATCACATGTACGAGTTTCACATTTTCTTAACACAAGAGACATTGTAACACAAAGTGACCAATTTACTAAAGGTCCAACTATTAAAAAATCCAAACATGGAGGAGTTTAAACCTATCACATGCATAGAATGTTTGGAGAGCTAGGATGTCCAACTAAAAGATTTAGTTTTTATTATTATTTTATTTGCTACAATAGGGATTTGAACCCAAGACCCAAAGCTTATAATGCCTTCACTGAACCATCTGGGTAACTTAACTTTGCTTGGGATATTAGGATTTTAATTTATCTTTATTGCCTGCAATAAGACAAACTTATAAACTTAAGTTGTATTAAACATTTGGGAATTCAGAATGAACGTACGTAATATTCAGAATCACTTTGTGAGTTGTTGCTCTGCTAGGGTTATTCCTTGCATCACTTGATCTTATCAAGAATTATTCGATTCTTGTGGCGATCCTTCTTGGCTTATCAAATATTTTTATTTGTGGCGCCTACGGTATCTTTTATTTTTTCTGTTTTCTATTTCCAATCAAATCAATTCTTAAAATCTAACCCTAAATTGTTTCCCTTCTATTCGAGTGTCGTCATTTGGTATTTAGAGCAGGGTTCAAAAGCGACACTGTTCATCGCACCGTTCACGGTACTGTTCATTGGCACTGTTCATGTTACTGTTCATTGTCATTGTTCACGTATTGTTCATTGTTACTGTTCACGGGGGTACTGTTCATTGTCACTGTTCACGTTACTGTTCAATGTCACTATTCACGTGTACTTGTTCATTATACTTGTTAAAAAAAATTTGTTGTTTATGCAATTTTGATATTGAATTTCATTTAGATATATATATATATATATATATATATATATATATATATATATCAAAGTTGTGTTTGAAATTAGTTTTCTACGAGAAAAAAAAGAAAAGAATCAAAAAAGGAAAAGAATCAAAAAAGGAAAAGAATCAAAAAAAGGAAAAGAATCAAAAAAGGAAAAGAATCAAAAGAAGAAAAGAATAAAAAAAAATTATATATATATATATATATATATATATATATATATATATATATATGTGTGTGTGGCGGTTGTTATTTTTTTAAATTTTAGTGCACATTAGCTGTTTGATAAAATTCCTAAGTGTCACGCGTCTTTGTCTAATCTTTGTTTTCCCATACAGTTTAAATTTGTCTTGCTTGTTATTAGTAGTAAAATTGTTCTTTGCTACTTGTCCTTTGTTGGTACTACAATTCTGTTTTATTCCTTGTGATTGCTACAGTTGAAAGTGATTCTTGAACTATAGATTGTTTGATTCTTGTAAGAACCATAAGTCAGAGAACGAGTGGAAAAAGGCAAGAGTGCATATTATACAAAAGCCAAATTGAGAGTAAACACGAGTGGTACATCTTTGAGTGCAAACACGTGAGAAGAGTGGTGAGGTCCTATTACTTCATTTGTTTGGTTCTTTCTTTTTTTTTACTTGAAAGATGGCAGGTACAGGTGGTGGTGGTATCCCTCCTCTAGGGGATGACAATAGATTATTGATTGATGCCATTACAGCCCAAATGCAAAGAATGTTGACAGAACATACCGAGGAGTTGTATGGGAGAATTGAACAACTAGAAAATCAAGAAAATGATGAAGATGAAAGAGAGTTAGAAGGAGATTTGTTCATGATTAGAAGGATGTTGGGTAGTCAATCAGTTGAATTGGATGATTGTCAAAGAGAAAATATTTTTCATGCAAGGTGTCTCATTCAAGGGAAGTTGTGCTCTTTAATCATTGATGGTGGGAGTTGCACTAACGTGGCTAGTGCACGGTTGGTTTCAAAAATGAATTTGGAGACTAAGCCACACCCGCGACCTTACAAACTTCAATGGCTTAGTGAAGATGGTGAGATGACCGTGAATAGGCAAGTTGAAGTGGGTTTTTCCATAGGGAAATATGAAGATTCTGTTTTGTGTGATGTGGTGCCTATGGAGGCTTGTCATTTACTTCTTCGGAGACCATGGCAGTATGATAGGAGAGTTATGCATGATGGTTTCACTAATAAGTTCTCTTTTATGCATAAAGACTGCAAAACTACTCTTGCACCTTTGGTTCCAAGAGAAGTTAGTGAGGATCAGCTGAAAATGAGAATGAAAAGAAAAGAAGAAAGAAAAGAAAAAGAGAGAGAAAAGAGAAAAGAAAAAGAGAGTGAAAAGAAAAAGGAAAAAGAGGAAGAAAAAGAGAAAGAGAGAAAAAAATCAAATCTGTTTATAAAAGAAAAAGAAGTCAAAAGAGCTATGCAATTGAGAAAGCCAATACTTTTACTTTTGAGTAAAGAAAGTAAATCAAATAGTCTATGTTTTACTAACACTCTTCCAAAAGAGGTTTCTTCTTTGTTGCAGGATTTTGAAGATGTTTTTCCCAAAGAAGTGTCTATAGGTCTACCCCCTCTTAGGGGTATTGAGCATCAAATTGACCTTATTCCAGGAGCTTCATTGCCTAATAGACCAGCCTATCGAAGAAATCCCCAAGAAACCAAGGAGATTCAAAAGCAAGTTGAAGACTTAATGCAAAAGGGGTGGGTTAAAGAAAGCTTGAGTCCATGTGCAGTCCCAGTCATTTTAGTCCCTAAGAAAGATGGAACTTGGAGGATGTGCACAAATTGTAGAGCTATCAATAACATCACGGTAAAGTATAAACATCTCATTCCTAGGTTAGATGACTTGTTGGATGAATTATATGGTGCTTGTATCTTCTCTAAAATTGACTTGAAAAGTGGATATCATCAAATCAGAATTAGAGAAGGAGATGAGTGGAAAACAACTTTTAAAACTAAATATGGGTTGTATGAGTGGCTAGTTATGCCCTTTGGGTTAATTAATGCTCCAAGCACTTATGAGATTGATGAACCATGTCTTGAAAGAGTTTTTAGGCAAATGTGTAGTCGTGTATTTTGATGATATTCTGATATATAGCACTAACTTTGATTTGCATGTTGAACATTTGCGTGCTGTCATGAATGTGCTTAGGAAGGAAAAATTATTTGCTAATCTTGAAAAATGTACCTTTTGCACTGATCATGTTGTGTTCTTGGGATTTGTTGTGAGTTCTAAAGGGGTACAAGTTGATGAGGAAAAGATTAGAGCCATCCAAGAGTGGTCTACCCCTAAGAATGTGAGTGAAGTGAAAAGCTTTCATGGGTTAGCTAGTTTCTATAGGAGGTTTGTTAAAGATTTTAGTACTTTGGCTGCACCTCTTAATGAAATAGTAAAAAAACATGTTGGGTTTAAATGGGGTGAAAAACAAGAAAAGACATTTTCTGAACTTAAGCACAAACTATCTAATGCCCCCATCCTTGCATTACCAAATTTTGCAAAATCTTTTGAAATTGAATGTAATGCATCTAATGTGGGTATTGGGACTGTTTTGCTATAAGAAGGTCATCCAATTGCTTATTTTAGTGAGAAGTTGAATGGGGGTGCCCTAAACTATCCCACCTATGATAAAGAATTGTATGCCTTAGTGTGTGCTTTACAAACTTGGCAGCATTACCTTTTACCAAAAGAGTTTGTAATTCATAGTGATCATGAATCTCTGAAATACTTAAAGGGACAAGGTAAGTTAAACAAGAGGCATGTCAAATGGGTTGAGTTCTTGGAGAAATTTCCATATGTCATCAAGCATAAAAAGGGAAAAGGGAATGTAGTAGCTGATGCACTTTCTAGGAGACATGCATTACTTTCTATGCTTGAAACTAAATTGTTTGGTCTTGAATCTTTGAAAGACATGTATGTGAATGATGTGGATTTTGCTGAAACTTTTGCTGCATGTGAAAGGTTTTCTAAAAATGGTTACTTTAGGCATAATGGATTCTTGTTTAAAGCAAATAAATTGTGTGTGCCTAAGTGTTCCATTAGAGAGTTGCTTGTGAGTGAATCACATGAAGGGGGTTTGATGGGTCATTTTGGGGTTCAAAAGACTTTAGAAATTTTGCAAGAACATTTCTTTTGACCTCATATGAAATGTGATGTGAATAAGTTTTGTGATCACTACATTGTGTGTAAAAAGGCTAAATCTAAGGTTAAGCCTCATGGGTTGTATACTCCTTTACCTATTCCTGAATATCCTT